CATCTTTCCTAATAAATCTTCTATTATCAGCTGTGTTCTACAGCTACACACAACCAGCTAGAGGCAGTTCAAAACACCCGTAAGCACTAGATTTCGAAGCCCATCTGGAGCTCGGCCGCCGTCAATCGTCTCCATGAAGTTCGCTACGAACATTGTATATGATTCGCGTTCGCTACTTATGCCTCTCTAAAGTCATTTTCAGAAATTCTTCAAGTCTTTTTCAAGAACCTTTCGAGTTAGTAAAGCGAAAATAACGTAATAATCTCGAGAAATTATTCAACGTGTTGAAGCTGATCATTATCTGCTACGTCAATACTGATCTCAACTGAGGCTGTGATTAATTAGAGCTAAATGACTCCCAAGACCGACTGTCTATTAACCTCGGCATTCTTCAGTATGATTCTTGATTTTCTTCTTTGAGCAGAACACGAGGTGTTACATTAAACTTTATTCGATAGCTGACGTTTCGGCAGTTCGCCTTCTTCAGAGCCTGGAAAGGTCAAAATGTTTGCAATACAATCAGTCAAACACCTCCATTACTTCTTTAGAGAAAATCACCAGACCTAGATTTCAATCGCATCAAGCAAAAATCAACACTCACCATACTCACCGCTTTTTATATGTGTTCCACTGGATGATGATGTTCACCGCAGGGAGGAATGCCTTGTAAACACTCGTGATATGAGCCAGTATATAAGACTGTTGTTTTGATGGGTAGGTGCATTACGAGCCTATGTGTCTCTCTTGCCGGTGATCTCCACTTGGATCATCCAGTGGAACACATATAAAAAGCGGTGAGTATGTTGAGTGTTGAATTTTGCTTGATGCGATTGAAATCTAGGTCTGGTGATTTTCTCTAAAGAAGTAATGGAGGTGTTTGACTGATTGTATTGCAAACATTTTGACCTTTCCAGGCTATGAAGAAGGCGAACTGCCGAAACGTCAGCTATCGAATAAAGTTTAATGTAACACCTCGTGTTCTGCTCAAAGAAGAAAATCAAGAATCATACTGAAGAATGCCGAGGTTAATAGACAGTCGGTCTTGGGAGTTGTTAGAAGAAGTACGACGAAGAGTTTGTTGGGAATGAATACGTCCAGGTAGATAAAAAAAAAACTATTCTTTGATAATGTGAAGTTCTCAACTTTATGACTTCTCTATCTGTTGAGAACTTATTACTTATTTTCAAAAAACAGCATCTGTCGGGTTTGATTCGTTGAGTACTTTCACAGTTTGTGTGACAGCTCACGAGTTAATTACGTGTTGAGTAGGATGAGTCGGAGTATATCACCTGCCAGCGAGTCACTCTGGCAGGCACCAGTAAAACTTTCATTTTTTGCTGTGGCTTGCAAAAGTGACATCGCTGAGCTTCGCAGGCTCAATTATTCTCATATCCTTTAGGCTTTACTCAAAGACTATCGTATTGATGGCCATCCTATGGTACCTCTGACATCTTGGTATATCTAGGCGGTAAGAGCCCTCGTCTACTGGTGTCGTTAAGACGAATCGCGTGTCCACCTTACCTTTGATAGCCTGACGTGTAGAACACGATGGTCTTCAAGTGAAGGCTAAAGGATATGAGAATAGACGTGTAGAACGTCATTCTTGACTTTCGATCGTTGATCATTCCTCTCAGTTATGGGATACAAAACTCGTAGCATCATCGTTTTGATTGCGCGTTCACTGACACCAAGTAATCTTTGGTTTGTCTAACGTAGCGATCAGATTTGTGATTGCATAAACTAAGGCGGTGATAACCGTTGGTTTTAAAGGTGTACACGGAGTCGGTTCATCAGTTGTGCACAACTTCTATTACTGCTTCTGTGCGAACTAAATCAAATATTCAAATCTCTTGTTCTATTAGTCGAGATCCATCGACTGAGAAGTGGTGAAGGACCAGTGTCATTGTACACCGTGCCGTTACCACATACGCCTCCTTCCTTGCTACAATGCAGGGCTTAATGTAGGGCGTGGGTCACTGACGAGGAGGGCGACACCTCCGAAACACCGGTGTATGGCTCTGGCGTACCAACCTCGCTTAGGCTCTAAACATTCTTTTTTTTTGAAATCTTCAAATCGATGGAAGTGGGACATAGCGGTCTCTTGCACTCTTGCGATATTCCCATGTGTTTGTTATCGTGTGGCTGTGGGCTATAGTACTGAACCCTTTCCAAAGCACTGCTTGTTCGCATGGCTTCCCGTCTTCCAGTGTTTTGTCAGTTCTCGTAGACCAAGTCGAAGAGTGTTAAGAAGTACTAGAAAATTTTAATTATCGTAATGATCTGTGGATCTTTCGTTGAAGTTTTCTTTTGTTTCTAGATTGGCGATCATAACATCGAGAATGTGGTGGCCGCTGGCAATTTGGGAGTTTGGTTTGGTCTACGCTTATAAGGTTGAAAGAGAAACGACGGCCGCCGTTATGGACTCAGAATCGTGCAGTGTCGTCGTCGGAGTATTAACTACGAACTGCGATAAGGTCGGTTCACAGTTATACATAACTATGGAACTTTTGAAAAGTGTTTTTTTTTTATCAACGAGGATTTTTTATTAACCGCTCTAGCTGTGGTAAGACGTCGCGGGTTCAGTGAATGAGGCCCATAATTATTGCTGTTTTTAGCATTTTGATATGATGCTCAACGAATCCGTAGAGCAAGGAAGGATTCACTGGCTTACTCTTGCACGCGATAGAATAATATGGAGATGTTGTTGGTGCCCGCTCGAGACACTCGACGATCAACGGAAGAACATGCGATACAGGTGCTGACGCCACGAATATATAACCATTGATGCTGAGTGATGTGCAAAACTTTGAACGTCAGACGGAATTGAAGTCCTCAATTCACCCTTTCCGGAGCGCATGCTAACCAAGGCGCTAAAGGATCTCGTTCTGGCATCACTCTTTTTTTTGATTTTCAGTAACTGAGCCTCCAAAAACTTTTGTGCAGTCGTATTCCACCGCATTGACACTTTCTAAGTCCGTGCGATTTGATTGCCTATCGTTCAATAAGGCATGTGATGTCGCTCTGCATAGTGCGGCAAAAGTGAGTTGAAACCTCGGAAAAGCGTTGTAGATCTATAAAAGCAGATCTTTCACAATTGCGGTGGTCCACTTTCTAGAGATTAGACACAAAGGCTGTTCACCAATAATAGCGCATCGAAAAATTTCGATCAAGTAATTTTTTTTATTAACTTACAACTAATTAAACACCTTACATAGTTAGTTGGGCTAATCTAGGCACAAATTTACTGCCAATTTGGTCTTCCATGGTGTTCAATAGAAAGCGAGTTTTAGTGGACGGCTCTATTGATGGCCCTTGACATATCATGTATTCATAATTCCTCCTGTTTTTATCACGATTAGAGGTGAAATTTGAGCAGTTGAAGGAGTAGTTGAAAATTTCTGACACGACGGCAGAAAGTGTAAGCTTAAGCATTAATTCGCGAGCATTCTTGTCCTACCTTTCGAAAACCCACTTGTGGATCTGCATCCATATTCGAGATACTTTCCTTTGCACTAAAATATGAGGTAAGATCTGCTTTGTTCTTTAGAAAGTCGGACTTCAGTCATGATAGGAAATATGGTGTGTATTTTATGGAAGCACATATGTGTGTTCCAATGACTTTTATTCCAACAACTAAGGCTCAATAGAAACTGAGTTGTGTTGGTTTAAGTTTGAGAGTGGCTATTATTTTACTAGGATGCGCTGTACCCGATGCGCTTCGGGAGCTGTTAAGATGACAGTGGACATCAGGGTAAAGCCTTCGATTATTCTGTCACATGTTGAAAATAAATTCTACTGAATTTCTAGGTTATTCTTCCCTGCTGCAAACTTTCGTGTTTTTCCGTTATCAGGACCCATTTTCAACCGCTGGGAATAGCTCGTAAAGAAAGACTTTCTTTTGAGCAGCATTACCCAAAAGGATATTGAGTTTTGCAGGACGTTGATGAGACTAAGAGAGGCGGCTGAAAATAGGTTGCAGTTCAGTAGCAAACTCAAAACAACCGCTGATGAATTCTTTGCCTGAGAACAATGTTCATTTTGTGGAATCAGAGCAAGGGTAGTTGCACGATGACGGCATATGGACCTAGAACAGCGGGTAATACAACATCGGAAAACGATCAACAACCTTCTTCGACTGACCAATTAAGCAATAAAGCAATAAAGCAATAATAGCGAGGTGAACTCCGAGCACCTCGGGATCAGGAAGTTCCTGATAAAACTTGCTATAAGATGTAACTCTCTGGTAGGTCCTTAAACATTCCTGTACCAAAAAAACTTATCCCAAACCAAGGGTTCTTATCACCACTATCGCAAAAGATGAAGCTTTCGACGTAGATCAAGTCTTGAAGGATGCAGAGCTAATTCACCGACACTAAGGGATGGAGGGCCTGATAAGTCTTGAGCACGGTACGAGCCATCAATCACATATGCGTCACAGTACACCTCTAACCACTGCACCACACTCGCTCAACACTTCCTTAATAACTGCTCATAGATTACACATAACTAGAGCACATGAAATACTGGGATTCGAAACACACTTGAAGAAGACATTTAGCCCGCTATCATTCGGGAATCTTCACAGTTCACTTCTCTTTATATTCAAAACCAAAAAAAGGAACAGAAACAAAGTCTCAGGATAGTTACCAGAAGCACAGAGACTGTGAATAACAATGACGGCCCAATGAATGCCCTCATATAATTGTTAACCCTTATACGCCTCCTGTTCAATTCTGCTTCGTACTAAGTGCACACTTTGACAAACGATGAAAGAAAAAACCATCTTTTGGTTTCTGAAAACTTAGGTTTTATCATAGCAAAAGAAATAAGCATATATCAATGAATGCTGAGTGATGTGCAAGATTTTTGATCGGGCGGGACCTGAACCCGCGCCTCACTCATGCCGGGTGCGCGTGCTAACCACTGCACTACCAGAGCACTGTTGTGCTATCGCTTTTTTCTTCTCAGAGAAAGAACATATATCTTGAACGAAATGACGACTACAGGAAAAACTTTTCCATTGAGTTCTTCACTGCTGAGCTTATGAAATGTTTGACTGAGTTGATTACGCAACAATTTCCTTTTCAAGGCCCTCTGAAGAAGGAGAAAAAGTCGAAACGTCAGCCAATATTGTGCTAGACAAAACATTCTTGTTAACGAATCCATGTTTGCTCTTCAAACAAAACGGTGAACATCCGTCTTTTATCAAAAAATTCATGAATTAAGGCTTCTGACGACAATCCCGTCAGTCAATGAAGTTCTCTACGCGAAAACCCTTAGCCACCCTGCCATCCTGATCTAATGACAAATTTTCCTCATAATCAGACTAAACTTCTCGGCGACAGAATCAATACAAATATTCAATCTTTTGAAGAATTTAAGAGCTTTCTAGATATTAGAAGTACGAGTTCAGAACAATTAGACGACAGTTTCAATGCTAAAAACAGTACAAATAAATAGTTCTTGTGGACTATATATTTTGAATAGCTGTCAGCTTGACTGTCGCTAGGGCGAATCCGTTGAACGTTGGTTTCTATTAGCCATGATAGGCTATGTCGAAGAAATGGAGATTTATAGAAACCTCGCGTCAGCTCATTAGTAAAACCAAAGCGAATTTACACATTTGAGAGGAAATATGAAACAATCCTGTTAATTGAGCTAGAGCCATAGGTAGATAACGACGATCTAGTGACTATCATCGGAGAATGGACTTATTCCAAACCTTAACTACTCACATGGAGGACAGATGGTTTCTCCGTTTGTGATCGGTAACAAACAGTTTTCGCAGCTGAACACAATTCAGAAAAGAGTTTTAGAGACTCTTAAAGCAAGAGAGACGCGATAACCCAAGAAACAAGATCAACTCTAATGATGTGCAGCTTATTGTCTTTCGAGCGGCTTGAAAAATCAAAACCGTCGCTGCAAATCTCAATATACAGTCGAAAGAATAGTCTGATAGAATGTCTCAGGCCTTTTCAAGGTATGGTATATCAGGGCTTTATGCGCGTTTCGGCGGTCTTGTCCGCCTCATCAAAGCCACACGTTTCACCACCCAACCACACGTGATAGGGGAGGAGAGGCAGTGTATTGAGACCAGACAACATGGAATTTTATGTGGGCCGTTTTACAGTCGTGACACGCGGCTGAAATTTATTATATAGACACTATCCCTTAACCGACTTTTTAGACAGCTCGTTATGAACATTCAATATATAGTCTGAAAGAAAGAGCCACTAACATGTCGAACCTCGAGAGATTGAAAACCTTTTTCAGACAGTGTACAGCTCACTCATGAGTGCCGAACATAAATAAGCCATGAACCAATACTTTCGAGACAACATAAGAGATCACTGCATGCAAGAAAAATCGCGAAGCGGCGCGCGACTTTCACTATTCATTTAGAGTTTTCTTGTTCTCCATTTTGGAGATATTTCGGCTTTTTTGTATCATTTTAATATATCACTATGTATATGTAGTTTAGTGAGGTTCAGTGGCTTTTTGGCAGGTACAGCTGATGTACACATTCACACTGGTTCGGTTGACGAATCGGCTAAGTTGTGCCTCTGTAATCGGCTGGTAGTTGTGTTACCTTCTGTATCGGGCATTGTGCGTGGATCAGCTTTGACCACGCGGGACTTAGATTGACGGTAACACCACGAGTAGTGAAATAGGTAATCAGTTCGTCTAAACGAACAACCTATAAAAACAACCACTGTAACAACAATGTTGAAACATTAATATGTGTACAATTATAACGCGAAGTTATGAGGCGATCATTTAACAGAAATATGAGTTATAAGTTCCCAAGTGATGAATGGTCAAGATACTAGTAACGGTGATGCAAGAGTAGTAGAGTTCTTTACATAATGGCTAACTGAATGAACAGTACGACAGGACCGATGATTAACGAGTATGTAATAGAAACGAGATCATAAAAGGTAAGCAACAGCAAGAGGTGAAGGAGCCACAGTAAGAATATATGAGAGACCCGAAGACGCCAGCGTCAATGCTGAGTCATCACTTGCAAAATCGCGGGCACAGTAGTCAGTGGCCGTGGGGTGTGGCGCCAGGCAGGAGCAGCGCGAAGTATTGCCATGCGAACCCGCGAAGGTTTTATCGAGGTCAACATACAGTGGATTTGTCTTAGTTGAGGAACGTGAGGACTTATATACGTAAGAGGGTAATTAAATATGGGACTGAATGCTTTACCCACGGTGGCGGGTTAGGCATGGCTCACTGTAGAGCTCCGCTGCATGGTGGACGCCCCCACTCCACTATAGTACGGGCCGCAACTCGCCGACATCTCAGCAGCCAGCGCCAACGGTTCGCCTACCCATCTCACATTTCGATTCTAGAAAGTAAACTTTCAAGATTATCCTACGATGCCAAAGCACACTGAGCGATGAGCTAGACTTTCGACCTCAGCGCGAGGTAAACCCGCATTTCACCCAGACCAAAGGTGAGTGTTATACTACACTATCTAGACCACCGCTCTCCTACAAATCCTTCTTTGATAAAACCAGTTAATAGACTAGACCCGTTGAAGGTTAGTTGCTAACATTTTCGATGGTCCACATGGAGGAAAGAGTGGTGGCAAAGCGATGCCCTTGGTGGTGTGGTGGTAGCAATCGTCCCTGATATAGGTGAGACGCGAGTTCAACTCTCGTTTTTGCTCGAAAGTTCTACACATAACTGAGCTTTGTTTGATAAATACTAGTAAACTATATGACTCTATAGCGGCGATT